GAACACCTTCCTGATTTCAGTTCGGCTCTTCTCTTGCTCACGATCATCGTCCTGTACCTTTCTGTACCATTTTTCAACCTGGCTGCTATTTTTAGGTCACTGCTCCTGGAAGTCCTGTGCCAAGCTCGTGTCACGCTTCGGGTGAGTTGCAAGATCAGGATTGTACTCATATTTTTTTCACATTAATGAGATGTTGCAACCAGAATTTGTTCCCCAGGGTCAGACTGACCATGCACAGTTCTGCTGAGCGTGTCAAAACGATCGTGTCGTCATGTGCTGGCACACCACGCACAGAAAGTTTTCTTAAGGTCAGTAGTCTAAGCAGGAATTTCCAGATTTCCTTCTCCACGGCTCCCTCCTCCAGCTTTTTTGGAGGGATACTGAGGCGTATCCCATGCCATCTGGGTCTGCCCCAGGGCCTCCTACAAGCTGGACATGCCCTAACCACCTCAACTGGATCCTTCTGATGTGGACAGGCACCAGCTACCTCTAAGGCTCATCTCCACTGCTTGTATCCATCAACTCTTTCAGTCTCTACCTATAACTCATGGCCATAGATGATGGTAGGAATGTAGATTGACCAGTAAACCAGCAGCTTCCTACCAGCTGCATCACACTGAATGAGTTGAAGGTTTTTACTCAATGGGAAATTTGGTCAAATTTAAATCAGATCAGGGCTTTGATTTTTTTAATAGACACCTTTCTGTCATGTTTTTAATCACGCTTCATACTTCAGGCTATTAGCGCTTACATTTCTTTCCTCTATATTGTTTTGCATGTGCAGCACGTGGTACCTGTTGGCAAGAGTGTCGATGCGCTCCTTAATGCGTTCGGAGTAGATGTTGTTCTGGCTGATGAGACTTTCTCCTGCCTCGATCACAGCTTTGATCCTGTGCAGGTTCAGCTCCATGGTGGTGGTGAAGTCCTTGTGTTTCTTTATAGCTGCTTCCACTGTTTCCACTGTGGTGGGCAGCTCCACGTGAGCGAGCGCAGACTCCTAGAAGATAAAGACAGGAGAAGTCACATGATTTCTTTTTTCTGGTTCAAGAACTAAAAGTTAAAGTGAAAGAGAAGAATAAATCTGATTGATACGAGTTAATATTGTTATTTTCAAATACTGATGGGTGGATTGCTGTTATTTGAATCCACATCCTTTTAGATAGTCAGCTGATCATACATTATCCATGTTTATCAGAAGGATGTTTTTGAGGATATCTGCATTAGTGGTAACATATATATGACCAATCACAGCTCTGATTGGTCAACTGATTTTATAAAGGAAGATAAGAGTAAGACTTCATCTCTTTGTAGAATTATGAAGCAATAACACAAAAATAGGCTGAGAGCAACACAGAAGTTGGGATGTGTGCAAAAGGAAACACGCAGTAGTTCAGCATTAAAAGTGCCATATGAATGCGTGTGCGCTTGAAGTACTTTAATCAGTGAGACTGCAATGAAAAAAAGAACATGTTGGATTTACTTAATACAGTGGTTGCACACAGATGTTTCGCTTTGGCAGCAACACAAACAACTGAGTTCAATCAACACAAGTTAGTCATATTTAATAAACTCTGTGCAATTTGTGTTGATGAAACGTGATTGAAACACGTTTAGATGAAGTAAATTGAGCTCTTGGAATATTTTAATCCTTCACAATTTTCTCACTTTATTCCAACACTATTCAAGTTATTGA